GCCCCTGAAGACCTTCCTGTTCGACCAAGCAGCTCGGCTCTGCTCGGTGTTTGGATCGTCATGTCATAATGTCATTATACTAATATCATAGCATTACAGTATCAGTCTCGTAATACTGTCGTATTTTGTAGTACTGTAGCATTATTAGCATTATTCTAGGAAAATTACAGTACTACTATAGTAGCATTGCCGTGTGCTTCAAGTAGAAAGCTCAGTCACGATACGTGTGGTGCAGGGTTCCAGGGATTCGATGCAGCCAGCAAGGTCGGAGAGGACCTGCCGAAGGCGTATGCAGAGCATATCATCAAAGCACTCTGGTTTGTGGCAAAGACCCTCGGCTTGCCAACCCTCAACCCTAACCCTAAACCCTAGACTCTAAACTAAACCCTAAACTCAACACCCTGAACCCTGAACCCTAGACTCTAAAAGCCTAAACCTTCTTGGGCTCTGCTCTCCAGGACGTTCCCTGATATCAGCTTGCATGGGCGTGTCGCCTTGCTCGTTCCAGACTCCGATATCTGCAGGAAGATCAAGCAGATCTTGCAGAAGCATTTGCAACTGAGCTGCGTTAAGGAAGCATCGCCTAAACTTCCTGAGCGTGTGGGTGAAGGGTTGTTGAAGTTGCATGGTTCATTCAGGGCCTGTTTTTTGCAGCAGACACCACTGGCATTGTCCCTAGACTGCGAAACTAGACCGAGTGCAATGCATTGGTTTTGGCGATGACATGCCGCAGCCCAAGCCCCCCAGCACTCCCTGCATACGCACTGCGACTGTGCTGAGCCTTAAACAAAGCCCTACCCGGCCCGAACGGCTGAACCGAACCCCAAATTCAAGGCGCTTCGATCGCACCCTTCCGATAGCCTAACCCCAAACCCTAAACCGAAACCGTCTCCCTAAACATCCCTAAGCAATACAGACCCTGAGCCTTAAAAAACAGAAACCCAAAAGATCCTCCTCAGCGGGACATTCGTGCAAAAAAGTATCCTAAACCCAACACCCAAAAGACCCTAACAACCCCTACCGCTCCCAGGAGCCGGGAGTTCCCTCATCGCTCCCTGCGCCTGGTGAGCTTCGAGGAGTCCCTCAGCTACTTGCCGGAGCGCCTGCTCGGCCGCGGCAAGCAGGCGGGGTTTAGGGTTTAGGGTTGGGACGGCTTGAAGAGCATAAGCAGTCGAAGCTTTATGATGTACGAGTAGTTCAGTGACTTGACTTTGGAGTTTTTAGGCTTTGGGAGTTTGGATGTTTCAGGCTTCAGGAGTAGTTGCCAAGTGACTTTGGGGTTCAGGTTCAGGCTTCGGGCCTTCGGGGTTTATGCTAAGGGTCAGGATGTGGGGATGAGGCTTTAGAAGTGGTTGGAGAGTGGCCCTAGGCTTTGAGGTGTGGAGTTCGGTTTCAGTGCAGGCAAAGCAGGAGAAGATCGTTCTCGATACCGTGGATAATGCGGAGGGCTTGGAGCAGCTTGTGGTCGTTTGTGTTGGGCTGGATGCTCCTATTCGGCGCCACCTGGAAGACTTACAGACACGCTCACGGCTCTATAGAGGCTTAACGAGAGCACAGCTCTTGGCCATCGTGGTCAATGAAAGGGTGCAGGGAGGTTGGCTAGAGTTCTTAGGCATGGTGACATTCTCTGAGTCCTCTGATGTCGCGGTTGCAGAGAAGGAGTCTGTCCAGAGAATCCAAAAGGCCGCTGCCAAAGTGCATGAAGAAGCCCTGCAGACCGTGGTGGAGAGCCCTGCGGAGGCTCAGGGTGCTCCGGCGGGTGCGAGTGCAGTCGCAGGCGCATCCCAAACAGTTGGCGATGACCAAGCTTTCGTGGAGAGTGCTCAGCCGGACGATAGCACGCAGCAGATGCACGAGACCTCGACAGCCTTTGGGGTTGCATTCAGCAGCGAACGAGAGCCTTTTTTGGGTACAGGTTCCCTAAGAGGCACCCGGTCAACAAAGGGAACCGTCGTGGTGAGTTCTTGGCAGGGTTGCGCTTAGATTCCACGTCTGCGCCGTCTGTGCTTATGGTGATGTCTAGTCAGAAAACCGGCATGGCAGCCCAGGTCTGGGATACCAGTGGCAACACCATGTCCAAGCCGACGAGCTTGCTTTTCCACCCCTTCTTCTCGACAGATGAGGTGGGCCCGCGTACCCTTCGCCCCACGGATCCACTTCTTTGTCTCTTTGTCTCTCCCTCTCTCTTTGTCTCTCTCTCGCTCTCTCTGGCTCTCTCTCTCTCTCTCTCTCTCTCTCTCTCGCTCTCTCGCTCTCTCTGTCTCTCTGTTTTTTTGTTGTTTTTGGCTGCTATTCGTGTTAATTGAAAATTTCGTGTTTCTGTGATAAGCAGCACCAGCGTCAGAGTTGGTGATATTCATGTGATGATGCTAGCATGGTTTCAACTTCGACAACGATGATGACGACCGCAACTTGGGCGACTCTACGATTGATGCATTCAATTTTGCAACCCCGACTGCGGGCCCGAGGATTCAATCTCGCAACATTTTCAGGATCAACATCCCAGCTACGTGCGATGAACAGATCTTATAGCTGCTACAATATGGCTTTGAATCAGACTGAGGATGTGGGGTTGCTGTTTCGGAGATGAAGGTTTGGGATGAAGGTTTTGCGGACCCCTTCAGAAATCCAGATTTGCAGGCTCGAGGTTTGGTTTTGGGATCAAATGTCTAAATAGGAATTCTTACGTCCCAGGCTTATGCTTGGGCTTCAAACCGCTGTGTTCAGGATTGAACGTCGGCTGGCTGGCTCTTCGAGAGTAGGCTGCGGAGCCCAGGATTGCCGGAATCGATTCCGGCTTGTGGGGTCGAGGATTAGTAACTCATGGGTGTAAGCTTTTGGGCTGCGACGGTTTAAGCCGGGCTGGGAGCTAAGAGTGCAGCTGGAGTTGTCGTTGCGGCATGCTTCCGGTGGAACCCTCGAAACCACGAGTTCAGAATCGTGGTTCGGGTTTTATAAAATTTATGTCTTAGCGTTCCAGCAGTCGCTGGAGATGCTGAAGCTGACTGCTCTCACATCGTCAGGTGCCGCCGAAGTTCGGCCCCCAAGGGTACTGTCCCGGAGTATTCTAAACCCTGAAATGCAAGCCGAAGGATGCAACACTTGTGAACGAACAAATCATGTAGGGCCTTGGGCAACAAGCGAAAAGACTGCAAATGGGTAAGCATGTATACGTATACGCATATAAAGTATACAATTCACAGGATGAACGTCATACAATTGATGACGATTGCGTGTCTGCGTGTGGGGATGTATGTATGTATGTATGTATGTATGTATGTATGTATGTATGTATGAAGGGCCCGAGTCGCCCATTCCAGGGAAGCTCGTAGAGCACTAGTGCCGCAGTGGCACGCCAATGAGTCGCAGGGCTGGAGGGCATCGCACTACCAGCAGCCTGCAGAGTTTGATGCTGGGATATGCCTCTGAACGGCTGATGCAGAGCATCCAGCTACCCAGCTGCCTGCAGAGTATGACGTTTGGCCGTGAGGTCAACCAGAACTTGGAGGGAACCCAACTGCTTAACTGCCTGAACAGTTTGATGTTTGGCTATGCAGTCAACCGGAGCCTGGAAGGCATCCCGCTGCCCAGCAGCCTGCGGAGTCTGATGTTTGGCGAATCGTCCAATCTGAGCTTGGCGTGCGCAGAATTACCCAGCAGTTTGCATGTGACTTTGGTCGCTATTTCAACCAGGGAAGTGCCTTTTGTGGCGGCTAATGCCGCGATATGCCCGAGGAACACAAAATTGTCTAGGTCCACTTGTTTGAGGTGCGGATCTGTAAATCGCCGCATCTTTCTTCACCCGATGGCTTTGCGCATGTCTTCGTGGTGTAATGTCCTTGTTCATACAGTCTGTTGCTCTTCGGATGGCCCAATCTGCATATGGGGTTTCATCTAAATGTCTGTGCTTGAAGGTGGCCGTTATTCTTTATTGGGCGCTGAGGTGCGCGGCCCTTAGCCCGAAAAGTGCTTCGTGCACTTGGTTGCCCGGTTTCGGGCCATCCGCGATTGCGGACATCGCCAAAATGGCGGAAGCTACCCTAGCAGGGGAGTGACTGCCTACCCTACTCGGTGAGGGAACCTCCACCGACCGAGGCAGGCAGCCTCAGCCTTCTAGGGGATCTCCCATTTAGGTGCCTCTTCCCTTGGAACCTTCTTTGGCTGCTTCGTCGTCCACCTCCATGGGTGCCGAAGGCTCAGTAGGCTCAGCTGGGGATTGCTGCACCTGAGACGTCGCTGGCTCCTCTCTGTGGAGTTCGATTCCTTGTCAGCAGCCGGGGTAGCTGCAACAGCTGCATCGCGGGCCTCGCCTCTGAGGGGCCTGCGAGTCTTGGGCAGTGGGGTCCTCGGACTCGTCGCTTTCGGTGTAGGAGGCTTCGTCAACGTCTTCCTCGGTGGGGCCAACCCTCGTACCGAACCTAGCTTTGGCTCGGGCTTTGCTCGAAAGGTTCTTGAGGTTAGACACCTTGTCTTTCTCAAGGCGGCGGGGAATGGTGAGGTCGATCCTTTGAGCGACGCTCTCACACCCGGCCTGCCGGCTGATGGCCAGAAGCAGGCGCTGGGAGCTCTTAGCCGCCAGAGGGCCTGCACCGCAGGGTGCTGCCTGGGGTCCAGCGGGTTGAAGCAGACCCCACCACGGCCATCCTCAGCACCGGCCATGCAGTGAGGGGCAAGGCCGGCCGGAAAGAACCATTCGAAAAAGGTTTTGGGCACCGACACCTTGTGTCCGTCCTCCTCCAGGGCCTGGCTAAGGTCCCTGTAAACCCTGACGATCGCTGAGGCGGCATGTGTAGGGTTCTTGTGCTCAGTGTCTATAGTCGTCGACCCAAGTCTCGACATAATCCACGCACTGGCCTGTACAGGAGGAACGGACTGGGCCACCCACTGGCAGTTTCGAGAGGGAGCGGGCAACCCGCTAAAATTCCTTTGCTCGCATACACTGTCGGAGAGGAGACCTCATCCGATGTGATAATGCGTCCTCCCCTGTAGGCCTCCATGGCCAGGTGGAGGGGGAGGGCCGGAAAGCCCGCCTGCTTCGCAGCCGCGTACAGCTTGTCGGGAGCCACTCCTTCGTAAAAGGTGCTCAGATCAAAGAAGACTGAGCACCTGTGAACAGAGTCCACACGGCAAACTTCGTAATGAAACGCCCTTCTGAGTGTACTGCGCTTGGGGAGAGCCGAGTCCCACCACTCAACCCCAAAATCCTGGAGCCATTGGGTGATGAGGCCCTGTCGACCCTTAATGCCCAGCTTGAGGAACGTGCTCATGAGCCCGATTGGCCGCTCGACCAGCTCATTTTTTGGCAACATAACAAACTGGGTAAACGTGGCCTGGTGTGGGACGTCCCCACTCAGCTCTATCTGCCTCCACAGGTCGGCCTGGGAGGAAACCTCCTCCGCGAGAGGGCCTTGAGGAGGCTCACCGTCCACCCGTCTATGCCCGGGGCTTTGGTTGGCAGGCACCTGATGAGTCTAGCGAACTCTTGCGCGGTGATGGCAGGGAGCTCCCGGTGGCCGTTATTCGGTGTGCCTCATGCACAAGAGAAAACGGATATGAAACTTGATCGCCAAACAAAATTATGACATGTGATGATGCCTCAGGAAAAAACCACTAGCGCGGATTCATTCCATTTGCATTTCTGCAGAGAAAAAGCAGGAAACTGTGGAGGTGTTTAGTATTCAGGATTGGGCTTGGGGACTCAGAAAAAGACAAATCCCTGTCGAAACCATCTTTCACTCCGTGTCGCTGCTCTGGGCTCCCGTCTTTGCTCCCGAGTTCCATGGATGGTGCACCACCGCTAAGCAAGCTAACTAGAACCTTAACGCACCCACTGTCTGCCACGCAACGTGTATGGGTCTCTCATGGCCAAAGCGCGAAAGTTGTCAACAACGTGCTAGCGCGGAGCTTGCGCGAAATGCCAAGACTTGTCCCCAAATTTCGGGCGGCCCTGATTCAAAGTTTAGGGTGTCGTGACAGAGGAAGCGTGCGTGCAACATATGCTCCCTTGTGAGTTGTCCCCAACCTAGCGTTGAAAGTCTGGTCCAATCACGCCTACCTATAGAAACTCGAACGAAAACTCGAAAGCCACAGATTTAGGGCTAAACAACGGGAGCATGTTGTGATGCTTCATCTGGGACATTGTCGCTGCATTGGATCAGCCAGGCCTTGCGTCTTGATATGTACTTTGCTAGCGCCAGGCTATCGCGGATCTAGCGCCAAGGTGGGGTTTAACGTGCCCAACATGGGGCCCCGCCTCATAGCGAAGAGAAACAAGAGGTCTCTAAACATAATAATGGCCACCTTTACTTGAACTCTTGAACCGCCCGTTTTGGTGAAAGCCCATATAAGCTGTCACTGTGCTGATCATTGTGGCCATGTTGGAAGGTCCCTACGGGCATGGATGCCCTCTTTTAGGGATCTGCTTACGAGGAAGACCTGCTCGTTGTGATATGTCGCCATCAGGGTTTTGCCGGGGCGGCTTTTCGGGTTAAGCCTGGCCGGTTAAATCCCCTTTGGCCTTTTACCTAGGCTTCGTTGGCAGATTTCTGCAACGCGGAAAACCCGCGAGTGCATATTGCGCTGGCGCTTTTCTGCTAACCTTGGAGAAGCGAGGCGCAAGAGGGGCCCACCGCCTCTTTCAGGTGGGGCTTTAATTAGCGCATGCATATGCTGCGCCCGACTCGGACACGTTGCCTTTGAAAGTGAAAAAAGTGAAAGTGAATGTATATATGTAAGTATGTAATGTGTGTACAGAGTGTACTGTATGTACGTACGTATTCTATATTATGCAATATCTCCAGCATGGGTAAACAACATGGAACGGGAGGAGAATGTGTATACAACGTACACATGTAAACTGCGAGTATCTGTATCATGTATGCGATACATGTAGTAACTCAGTACATATGTGTATACGAATAAATATAAGCACCGGCCTTTGCACCTGTTAATATCGCAAATGCAATAGCATGCATTTCCAGTTGCACCACACACACAAACACACACTAGCAAGACATGAAACACTGCCGCAAGCAAGAAGATGTGCAAGCTGCATTCGTGGCTGTGTGACACACTATAGACGATAACATAAATTATGTTGAATGCTAACATACGAACACGAGTAAGGGCCTTAGTCATCATCGTTGCTATCATATTTACCAGATGTGTAGTCATCACGATCATCCATCGGATTTGGGGGTCGTGAAACCCAAGCCCTCTCACTCCTCAATGGCTGAATACGATACAGAAAACTTTGGTGCCCAGGTGGGTTGCACCTGGTCTTTAAATCCCGGGCATCACTTCTAAA